GTGGCTTTATGCTTTAGGCCGACAATCTTTCTTAAACACTGCAAAATGGATCGAAGAGGTTCGTACTGAGAGGGGGAGTGATGTCATTATTGTTCTTGTTGGGAACAAAACTGACCTTGTGGAGAAGAGGTAATAAACTTAGCTAAGTCAACTAATCAGTTTGACTGGGTTTGTTTCCCTTTGGTTCTATGCTTTGTGCTTAACTGAGTAACATTATTTTTTGTGGATAATTTTACAGGCAAGTCTCTATAGAGGAAGGGGAAGCCAAAGCCCGTGAACTTAATGTCATGTTTATTGAGACCAGTGCGAAAGCTGGTTTTAATATAAAGGTAGATCCTATGCTATCTCTTTTTTCTGTACTTTTGCCAAGTTTTCATGCCATGTCTATACCAAAATAAAATTTGTGGTACGATAATGAATTTCTGTGCAGCCGCTGTTCCGAAAGATTGCTGCAGCATTACCTGGAATGGAAACACTTTCTTCAACCAAGCAAGAAGACATGGTTGACGTGAACTTGAGGTCTACTGCAGGAAGCTCATCACAGTCCCAACCTCAGTCAGGCGGTTGTGCTTGTTGATGCAGCCTTCGCTTACGCTGCTCACCATTTGTGATCAGTTGATGCTATTCAGTTTTTCATCCTCGCACTTTGAATGTAAAATTTTCCTCTAGTGTACTTTTCTTTTTCCTCACTGCTACTTTACAAGTTTGACATTTATTTTTTACATGAGACAAAACTCTTTTGAAATACAAGCAGCTAAAAGGCAAGGAGTACTGTACAGAATTGGAAGAATTTTTGTGGCAGGTTGATTGAACTTGAGTTGTTCAGTGAGTGAACCAGCTACAGTCATCTCTTTTCTTCCTTATTATCATTGTTTATTTTAAAAATCTGTTTTCAGCTTACCATGTTATTATGGGATTTGATCATGAATATGAGGGGTCTGAATCAGAAATGCATATTTGGAAGATAATATTTGACCATGCGGTGAGCTATCAAAACTTATCCTCGGCTGTAGAACTTCAAGTTGTAAATTTCATAAGGTAATAAAGTACTACTAATCAGAAGTGGACAGCATCTTAACTGACTAATTTTCAATTTATCCTTACGTTGTCAATGAGAAAGAAGGGTGTGTATTGCAGCCATTTTAATCATGATCTTGACCTCGAGGATTGAGCTCCCATTTTAGACTTTTTGTCGTTTAGTACTTGTTATACTGATTTGCTATTTCTATTTCTGACGGAACCATTCGGATTGGATAATGGCCTACTTTGAACAATAAAAGTTGTCAAGTTGTTGATAATTGTCTTCACAATGAGTCTTTAGCCAAACTTGTCAGGTCAAGTTTTGCTGTGTTTCAACTCAGCTTTCAGGGTTTCAGACTGTTAGAAAGCTTTTTTAAGCTTTTTTAAGATCTTGTTCATCTTCCTCCTTAATCTTCTTAGCTCTATCAACATCAGTATCTTCATGGAGCACCATCAACCTCAAGAGTTGGAGTTACAGAACACAGGTGAGTCACTCAAATCAAAGTTCTCTTATATATTTACATCCCTAGCTATGCTTCTTGGTTCTAATTCCATGCGCTTTTGCTCTGCAGGTGTTGATGACAGAGTTTCAAAGACACATAAAGACATTCCTAAGCTTCCAAGATTCATCGATTACAGGTGGTGGTTCCGCGTAACCCTTTACATCCTTTTTCTTCTGGCTGGCCAATCTGCGGCTATTCTCTTGGGAAGATTGTACTATGACAAAGGAGGAAACAGCAAATGGATGTCAACCTTTGTTCAATCAGCAGGCTTCCCAATTCTACTTCCCCTCATATTTTTCTTTTCCCCATCGACCTGCAGTGCCACCAGAACCAGATCTCCCATTTCTAGCCTGAAAAAGACCTCCACTCTTACCATCCTTTATGCTGCCTTCGGCCTTCTGTTAACAGGTGACAATCTGATGTACTCTTATGGGCTCTTGTACTTGCCTGTCTCTACATATTCACTTCTATGTGCTACCCAATTAGGCTCCAATGCCATTTTCTCCTTCTTCCTCAATTCCCAAAAGTTCACCCCTTTAATACTCAACTCCCTTGTCCTCCTCACCACCTCTGCCTCCCTTTTAGCCGTCAATGCAGGCTCTGATGACAGTAAAAGCACCGTCCCCAAAACAAAGTATGCAATCGGGTTCCTCCTCACTGTTGCTGCATCTGCTACCTTTTCTCTGTACCTTTCCTTAGTGCAACTCTGCTTTCAGAAGGTCATAAAAGCAGAGACCTTCTCTGCTATTCTGGATATGCAGATATATCCCTCGTTCGTTGCAACCTGTGGTTGTGTTGTGGGGTTATTTGGCAGTGGAGAATGGAGTAGTTTGTCAAAGGAGATGAACGAATACAGGCTAGGGAAGGCATCGTATCTAATGACTTTGATTTGGATAGCTTTGTCATGGCAGATTTCATCTGTGGGGATGTTGGGGCTGATTTTTGAGGTGTCATCTCTATTCTCCAATGTGATCAGCACCTTGGCTCTGCCTGTCGTCCCTATTCTTGCTGTGATATTTTTCCATGATAAAATGAATGGAGTCAAGGCCATAGCTTTGCTGCTAGCTATCTGGGGCTTCCTTTCCTACATCTATCAGCATTATTTGGATGACTTGAAATCAAGGACGAAAACAACCACCTCCGCTGAGGTTTCTGCGGATCTAACAGAGGAGAGCTGATGGTTTGTTTTTTTTGTTTAGATGTTGGGTGATATTCTGTGACAGACAGTTTACACATCCCAGCCTAATAATAAGTTTACCTTTTCAGTCAAATCGGCGAAGAATGACCTCTTCCTAACGTCTCTCAAAAGTTCAATACTTTGCAAAGAATGCCAGTGGTTTGGTTAATTCTTAGGTAGTCCAGCATCTTTGTCCCTTTGTTACCATCAGTGAATTATTTTGCAGGAAATATATTCAATCTTTACCATGAAACAAGCAAAATAAAATGAAGCCAAGAAATACTTCGAATACATAACAACTTGATAACAATTAGGCACCTCGTCAATGATTGATAACTTTGCCAATAGCAAAATGGTAAACTGATGCATGATGATTTATAGACAATGTTTGTCGATGATATTAATTATAACATTAAATTAGTTCTTTTCTTTTTTTAACATGAGAGTGAAACTCGAACCTCACATTTTAATCAAGATAAAATTTTTTTTTATAACAATATAAGTAACTATTATATTACAATGACTGCTCAACATTAAACAAGTTAATATATATAAATTTACATATAATGTATATAATGTTGTTAACAAATATTGTTACTAAATAATTTGCATTTTTATATACCATGTCATTTAAGTTATGAATACTAGATTTATAAATAATGCAAGGATCTTACAAAAAATTTACTCTAGTCTTTTTTTAACTATTTTAATCTTTTAACTTTATGTAAATTAACTTAATAATTTTGTATAATATATAAATA